TCAACATTCTAATGATCATTCTGCTGTTTTATCCAAATGGTCAATCAAAGTACAGCAACCAAAACCGGCGCACGAAAATGCATGGTTAATGGTTGTAACAAATGAAACTGAAACTTTCCTTATCAATTTCAGCTCTGCATCCTTGAAGTGCTAAATTTGAATTTTCTAATCTCCTCTTCGAGCCTACTGCATAAACCGCATCCATCGTTCTTCACCAGTTTACTTGTAAACGAGATTTTGGCTGCTCAGTTCGACAACCATAAGCCTGTTTTTAAACTTTAAGACACTGAGAGTTTTTGATGCCTCTTCTGATTCGAAACCATTCTTTGACAGTTCCCCGTTGAGATCCATCACAAGTTCGTCGCCAAAACTCAATCTATGGTTCGTTGTTCGTTTCGGTTGACAGGGTCGGATGTTCGCAGGTTACGCCAAGATATCGGAGTTTATACTAATTTTTTGCGTCAAACTGTTTCTAAGTTGACCGACTTGTATGAACTACACCATAGTGTTTGACGTGTGCATTGAACCGGAAAAAGCATTTCAAAGTGTAATAGATAGACACTGTTCCATGCCAGGTTAATCTCAGTTTACATAAAATGACATTTTCGCGTAGTGCAACGAGGTTTTCATCCTCGCTTCATCAGCATTTCGCAAGTGCTATGAACAAGGCAATATTTTTTATATTAAGGTTAGGAAATTGGTTCACGGCCTCCGGAGGTGTCAACTAGGTGATCTTGTGTTCCTCTGTGGAACTGACCGAGTTCGGAATGTTTAACAAAGGCGAATATTTTCACAAATTTGAGCCCTATGGTTGCTCATCCAACCAATAATTTATTCCTCATTTCGGATTCAGATACCTCAAATTCGTGTGGGTTTTTTCGTTTGGTTCGAGTTTTGAACCCTGCCCAAATCGGTGATAAACACTGTCGTGTGGCTCAACTCTCCGCTTATTCTCCTGGGGAATGAGTTGTTTCACCGGTGGTGCAAATAAATTTTGTTCTCCTTAAATTAAATCCCATTGCTGCAAACGAGTGCGCAGTAAGCCTCGACATGCCGCGTAAATCATGTGGAAGTAACTTCGTGATTATTAATGGCATTTTATTGAATTGATAACTTTACAACGAACTTAAATGTATTGATTGCTAGTTATCAGTCGTTCAGAGCTAGATTTTTTCAATCCTAGTCGACTTTTACTAATTTCGTTGTATCTTGTCAAGAAAGCTTCCAATACCAACAGCATATACACAAAAGTTACTTTTTAACCAAAATATTCCGTGAATCCCTTTTGTCTGAAATTGAGTTCATCACTTTCTGCTACCTAATTTTTTCTCACTCTTATTTTAGGAGAAACCATACATGATGTATATTGGCAATACACCCCCAGGAAAACCCAAATCCACTGATCCTAAGGATTGGCAAGGGTTCTGTATTGATCTGTTAAACTATATAAGTCGAGATCTGAATTTCTCATATACCATCAATCTGGTGCCAGATTCGACTTACGGCAATTCGAAGGTGATCGATGGTGAAGAGGTTTGGGATGGAATGGTGAAGGAATTGAGCCTCCACGTGAGTTTTTTCATTGCAACTGATGATACGCACTATTGAAGCTATAAGCTTAGGAACCTTTCAAAATGAAACTTCGTAGTTTTGGCTGATTTTCTCAGCGAAATGCTTCTTATCTTCAATGGATGTTTAAAGTATTGTTGAATTTGTTAATGAAAATTATATTTGTACGCTGAAGTATGTTTGGCTCAATCTGATGTGTATTTGAGACGGAGGAGATCAGTTTGTAGGGGAAACATTTGCAAGACCTCTCTAGTCATGGGGTTTTAGGTCACCTATCGCCTACAACCAGCGGAGCTGTATGCCGCCGAGAAGGTCTCACGGTTTGTGCTAGAACAAAGACCGCTTAGGTAGTTAACTATGAACAAACGGGCATTCATTCAGTGGAATAGCGGTCACAGATGATCAGCAGTGATGCCTGAAAACGTGCTGGTTTTCCATCTTTCAAGGAACGAAATGCCGCAAATCTGACCCGCCACAAAAATGGCCATCGCCATTGCCCAAACATTCTGTAGGCGAAACTTTTCTATTCGTGGTGCATCCCCCGAGAAAATCGTTGAGTAGCACTGGGGACGTCATTTGAGATCATATTCTGTCGATTTTTCACGGAGCTCTTTATAAACTCCAGTCATTTTCACGTCCAGAAAACTCTTCTCAATGCAAATGTAAAAACACAATTGTTTTTACCACGTCACTACTGACACACTTTGGGTTTTCCGATCCGCACCGTGGAAACTGCCCGCATTCACACTTGAAGAACACAGAGGCAATCAACAAAGGAATAGTTGGTTTGTGTTTCTTTGAGCGCGTGTGTGTAAGATAGAAACTACCGAGTTGCTGTCTGAACCATAAACGTAATAAGGTAACTAATTTACTAATCTCCCTCGCCTTTCATAGTAATCAATAATACCTTGGGACGGTTTAGAGTGAGTATGCCTATGTGTAATTAGGTTCTGAGAGATGGTTAGTATGAACTACACTTATTTACACACATGGGTCAGAGGTCAAATGTTTCACCCTATTGCTTTTAGGCGCTTCATGAAAAATGCTCCTAGTTCCTAATCATCTTGATTTACCTCTGGGATCGACAGTAATATTCTGTATGAACCTGTTCGGATAGTTATTATTTCGGAGAATAGTGGTAATGAACTGAAGGCTGTGTTCTTGTATCCTCGATGCACAGATTTTCCTGACTGTCGGTACTAGGCATTTTTCAATATCCTTATTTTTAGTCCTTTTGGTGCAAAGCTGTGGAAGTTGGTATAAAGACAGTTTCATGCCTTCGTTCTGTGAGCAGAGCGATGGATAAAAACATTGTTTCTTCTCGTCAGCAGCATATGAGGAAAAGAAACCTGTTATCCTCAGTAAACATGATTAAAATTTAGATAGCCTAGGCGAATTCTCCTTATTCTGACATCGGTTTTCTCACAATGTACGATTACAATGTTACAAGCACTAGCTGCATAATGAATGAATCAGTGAGATTCTTTGCTCCAAGGATGAATTCCAAAGCCAGATTTCAAATGTTTCACGAACATAAAATTTTTATAAATATAGCTTGGCAAAGACCGACCGTACTTACCAAGCAACTACCCAATCAAGGTTTCGCTTCAAATTTGAACCCCGTCGCAGAGCATCTCAGTTAACTTGCCCTGTCATACACAGTAGACTGATCTAATAGTTTGTACACACTGTCAGTCATATCTACTCGTTCCCCAAAGTGAAATCGAACTAACCAATATCATCACAGGGGTTGATGTTTTGGCCAGGCGGAAAAGTGAACGGATTAAATAAACCCATTCCTTTTGAGTTTGTGCGAGTTCATAGACAGCAACGTCTGTACACGGTTCGCCTTGTGCAGTTATCAGTTCTTGGAAGTCCGTGTACCCACCACCA